TAGTTGGACCAAGATGTAAGGTGAAATTCTCTATTTACGGACCAAGATTTGGAGATACATAACTTTCCACTTTGCATGTGATACACTAGAAAATGATTACTATTGCTAGAATTACTGGGTTATGAGGTTATGAGGAACACTTACACCCTAGTTTCTCTCTCTCATTGACAAAAATAAAAATTTGAATCTTGCTCACTTCCTCTCTAAACAACAATATGTTATTTGTTGCACAACCCCCCCCCCCCATTTACTTTCCCGTCTCGAAAATAAATTGGCTAAACGGATATTATAGTGAATTAAGTTTAAGTCTAAACTTATTCCTTGTGGGATCAACCCCAACATACAAGTAGGATTCTTTACTTGATAAAAATCGATATACTTCTCTAGGGAGATTTAATTTGAGCGTATTAGAAGGTTGGGTGAATTTTTGCCTTTGAATTCAGATTTGACTATAAGATGTGAATTGATTCGACATAGACTTACTAAGGTTTATCATAGAATTTTATGAAGGATGAGTTTTGATTTGGGTGACAAACAGAGATGTGTGGAAGATTTTGTGTTGTAATGTGGGCATATGTTGATTGAATTATGGTAGATGACTTATGGAAACACTATAGGATGCACCTACGATTCTACATGGTAATTGATGACTTTAGGGATTGAAACTACTTTATTGATGGGACTACATAGACTGTTATGATACGTTACATAGACATTTATGAATAGAGGTTACGAGCTTATAATATACCGAATAATTGGAGTGACCAAGGATTTATTTGAGTATTAGAATGAGTTACAATGTCATATTTTGGAATGTTAGTTGAAATATGATATGTGAAAGTTCATGTGGAGTTGACTTTGGGCATGACTTAATAACTTTATATCGATGGAAAGTTACTCTTAGACTTGAAATTAGTACTATCAGCATTAGGTAGGACCTGTATATGTCATGATATTTGGAAAGAGAGGGATCCATAGTTTAAAATTTTTAGAGGAAATAATGTGTTTGCTAAGAAGACTTTGATACTAGTTACATTTGAGAATACGGTAAATAACTGAAATGATTATGATTTTTTTAAAATATTGATGGACTGTGGGCTTCAATTGAGTAACGTGAACAGTGTGGGTACAATTATAATGCGGACCAGACCGGTGGATTGTAGGTAGCTAAAAAAATCAACGAGATGGAGTCAATTGAATGAAAATGACTGATATGGGCTCTCTGGAGGGAGTATTTATTGTACTCAACCTTGGTTCTCTACATTCTTATGTGACCAACTATTTTGTCCTATACATGCTTTGGTATATGGATCACTACCTATGCACATGCGTGTTTTCACTTCTATAGGCGGATCCCTTGTGGTGTATCGATCCTACGATGTCCTCTTGGTAGATTAGGATTCTTGGGCGCACTTGGTTATTTTCGATATGATATATTTGGTGTTGTCTCAGAGAATTTGAAATATTCACGTGGTTCTAGATGTATTATCTTTCTTATGAGAATTTATAGAAGAACTCTCATAGGTAACAATCTAAATATTCATCTAGTCATCGACGCTATGTTCCAAAAAAATTATTTTGCCTTTTGCAGTGTGTCTGTTGTTGTTAATCAAAATGAGTGGTGATTCTTATGTATATAGATATTTGTCCAAGTTCATCCATGGCTTTTGAGTTCTGAGTGTTGTAAATGTTTGTTCTTTTTAATGTGCGCTGAAACATGTAATCAAAATTTGGTATTGTAAATGTTCGTTCTTTTTAATGTGCACCGAAACATATATAATGTATAGAAATCTTAACTCAATAGCTCAAAATTGGTTGTTGTTAAGTTGTCTTCCATTGAAAGTTGGCACACTTCCAATACTAAATTTTTTCACAACAAAAACAATGACTGACTAAAGTAGTAACTGCAACCTGAGTAAATAGTGTCTCTTCACAATTATTCCTCCTCCAACCTGAATAAAGTTGCTTGATTAGTTTCTCATACTTTCATGAAACATATGAGCAAATCAATTACAAAATAAGGCAGATTAACAAATTACAAACATAAGTTCATGAGTAAAATGAGAACATAAAATACGGGCAAACATTGATAGCTAAGACTAAAAAGAGATGTTAACATATGTATTTGAGATAATTTCTACTGCCATCACTGTTAAAATTAGCTCTCAAAATTCTACTGCTGGCTTCGATATAAGATGCGCCTCACGAACAAAAATTGATACAAAGTGTTCATTGCCTCTTTACACCCAATCATTCTGGATAATATGCTGTATTACCGCGGATGCTGGCACAGAGTTAGCTGATGCTTATTCCCCAGCTGTCTACGAAAGAAACAAAAAGAAGATCTATAAAAACTTGCAGAATGCGAAGAAAGTATTAAAATATTTATCAACTCAACTAAAACTTCCTAACTTGATCCTTTTTTCACAACGTTTTCATCATTTAGAAAAGAGACATTTCTAAATAAGCGAAGATCAACACAATCCTAACCAATGGAAAGTCATTAACAACCCATGCTTGCAAAATAACTCCGATTGAAGCTTCAACAAACATATTTTACCAAACTAGCAAGATTTCAAACGTGCTAAACCACTTATAAAACGGTCCTCTATAATAGCATAGTATTCTATATATTAACAGTATGTACAACTAGTTTATGTTCAGTGTAAAAAAATTTCTATTTGAGTAGATTGCAACTTTATGTCTTCGTAGCGACTATATGTACACTTGATACTTTTAAATCAATATTTAAAAACAAAGATGTCTAGATCAATAAAAAATACAACAAAGACTAATAGGTATAAAAGCCAATGAATATCAAAACGGAAAGCATCTGCGGCTAAGAACTGAATTTGAGATTTGAAAAGAAGAAAAAATTGCAAAGCCCACAAACAACAACAATGAAAATGAATATCGAAAAAAGATAGTTATTGATCTACTGAAAAGTTGATCCAATCAAGTATCTAAGAAGAGGTATCAGCTAATGAGTTCACATTGCTAGAGAAGTTCCTAATCACCTTTATCCAAGTTATACATCCCAATATTACGATAAGCAAATGAGGCAGAAAGTTGGAATTAATCTGTATAGAATATAATCTAATCTAGCTAAGATTGGAGAACATAAGAAAATATAGCAACCACATAACATGCTCTTGCTTTTAAGGTTGTTAATAAATCAATTTTAAAAGGAGAAATGGACCATGAAAGATAATTGATCGACGGAGATGCTTATCATAAATCCACCAAATATAAATTGACGAAAAACCAGTAATCTTAAGCAAAGAGTGAAATAATAGTTTGTAGACAAATATTCTTTTAACAAAAGCAATAATTGCATATCACAAAAAAAAATTGACCGAAAGAATTTAAGACAAAGAAACACTCAGACAAAGTGAATTCTTAGAGAATCACACATTAGGATCTAAAAGAACAAATGGACTTACTGACTTTATGAAAGAATAGAACCGCTTCAACACTAAAACTATTATAAATTTGAGAAGAAATGGAACAAATCAGAGAAGACAGAGAGAAAAGTAATACAATCTTCAGAATTGTCAAAGAGTTTGAATTACCAACCTAGATTAAAGCAAGTGGCAAAACTGAATAACAGCTTTGTTAGTTCCCTATGATGGGTATCTCCCTGTTGAGCGTAATTGTAGTGGATTATCATTTCAAAAATTTTCCTTTGCAGTCACCAAAAAGTACAAAAGTAAGAAAGATAGTTCTTGCAATAGCAGACAGTACAGAGGGTAAATATGTATGAACAGAGAATATAATAAGTTACATTATATCTCAAGCGTGTACTATAAGTCTCATCTAAGCTCAACTGTAGGTACCTAAGTAGACTGACCTTTTATAGTGATTTTGTTGGCATGGATGATCTAATTTTCAACACCTAGGTTGAAGAGACTGGTAGAACATTCGATTATTCCAATGCAAGCTCACATGTGCTTTTAGAATTGACCTTTTCATGTTTCTATCATTACTTGTTGGTGGAAAGATGCAACTGGAGTTGTTCTGTTGTGAAAAACAAAACTTGTAAAGACAAAGCAAAAGCCCCAACAGCAGTTGAAATTGAACAATTGGATTGTAACCTCAACAAATAACTTCAAACAAAGAAAAAAATTTCCTCAACTACATTCGGCTTCTAACCTCAACAAATCGTAACTTAAAATTGCTTAAAGAGTTTAGTCAACTTATGAATCCAGAGTATCAGATGGAACATGTCATTCTATCTTTTTCCAACAACAAAAACGCTACCAGATAACTTTAAATTCTCAAAACAATTCAGAGAATCTGTATTATAAATTCAGTATAAATTAAAAACAACTACAAATGTCGAACTTAACACGACGGAAAGCTCTGTAATCAACACAGAAATAACAAGAGAAGAAAGGAGGAAACATAAACTAAAAACAGTTTTCAGGGAAAAGTTACTACTTTATTCAATACTCTGAGAGGATAATATAGGCTTACAGAATATTAGGAATCCTAACCCCACTAAATAACTACTTAATTTCAGTAAACCAATTTTCCTGAACTCTAGGAAAAAGAAATTTGCAATATTAGAAAGTAGGAAAAGCATTACGCGCTAACAAAATAGCAAAGTAGCAACTAACTAGAATATAGCTATTGCCTAGACTTAGTCAGACTAGTAAACAATTAGGCTGATGTTTAACGATTTTATCACCTCTTCTCGACATTAGCTGTCGTCTTAGCCATGAATGTTGCTGACAGAAACTTTCAAACTTATTGTTAGTTAAGCCTTTTGTAAATAAGTCTGCAATTTGTTTTTCTGTGTTAATATGCTCCAGGTCAATCTCTCCTTGTAACACCTTTTCTTTGATGAAATGGTAATGTATTTCCACATGGTTTGTCCTTGCATGAAAAATAGGATTTTCAGCCAAACTAATCACTGACTGATTGTCACAGTAAAGAGGAACTGCATAGCCAACTAGTTGATGTAAATCCTTCATCAACCGCATAAGCCATATACTTTCTTAATCTGCGACTGCTGGTGCCCGATATTCTGCTTCTGTTGTTGATAACGACACTATTGGCTGCCTTTTGCTGCACCAAGAAATTGCTCCAGCTCCAAGCTTAAACGTGAAGCCAGTAGTTGAACGACGAGTGTCATGGTCTCGTGCATAGTCCGAGTCATAGTAACCAACCAACTTGCATTCTTCACCTTTCTTAAACACAAGTCCATAACCAATTGTACTTTTCACATATCTTAGAATTCGCCGAACAACCTCCATATGTTGCTTCTTTGGCTTGTGCATGTAGCGATTCATTACACCAACTGCAAAAGAAATATCAGGCCTAGTCTGAGTTATATAAATTAGACTACTTACCAATTGCCGATACATCGTCACATCTTCTAAATCTTTTCCTTCATGTGCACACATCTTGGCATTTGGTTCAATTGGAGTTGCAATTGGCTTGCACTCCAGCATCCCAAATTTCTTTAGCAAGTCTCTGGAATACTTTTGTTGATGAAGAAATATTCCTTCTTTAGTACGTCAACCTCCAAACAATGAAAATGATTAAGCTGTCCAAGTTCTTTTATATGAAATTGCACAGATAAATTTTCCTTCGTTTGGACAATTTCTTCTTCTTTATCACCAGTTATAATCAATTTGTCGACATATACAAGTACTATGCATAGATTTCCTCCATTGAATTTGACAAACAATCTTGAATCTGCAGATGTAATGGAATAACCACTTTGAGTTAAAATTCAGCAATTTTACCGTACCATGCCCTTGGTGATTCCTTTAATCCATAGAGCGCCTTCCGCAACTTACAAACATTCCCAGGGTACTTTTGATTCTGGAAACCCATTGGTTGAGCCATGTAAATCTCCCATTGGATTGGAAGTTTCACCATAATCCAAACCATATTCCTGAGGAAATCCCCGAGCTACAAAACGAGCTTTATGCCTCTCCAACAACCCATCTGTGTGACATTTTATTTTATAAACCCATTTACATGATATAGGTTTCACATCTTTTGGCTTCGGCACAAGTTCCCAGGTTTGATTTTGTTCTAGTGCGGCGATCTCCTTCTCCATTGCTCTAGTCCACGCTAAGTTTTGAGATGCTTCTTCAATGCTTTTAGGTTCTTTTCCAGATTCATCCTCTATTATTGCTACATTTTAATATTTGGGGTTTTGCCTCCGAATTCGTTCTGACCTTCTCGTCTTGGATTGTAGAACAACTGGTACTTCTCCTTCATTTGTTTCACCAACTGGTACTTCTCCTTCATTTGTTTCACTTCCTTCACATGTTGGCTTGTGAACAGTTGATTTCCCAAAATTATGAGTTGCGCCCTTGTTCAACATTGGCATCTTCATTTGATCGAATATAAGTAATTTGCAACTTATTTTTCAGATCAGTTTGGTTTGGTGATATTTTCTTTTTCATAGACCACCATGAAGAGGTCTCATCAAATTCTACATGATGTGATGTATAACACCTTCCAGTTGTAGGGTCACTACATTTCCACACTTTTCTTTGATTATCATAACATATAAAAACGCATTTAACAACTTTCTTGTCTAATTTTCTACATAAATAATCTGGTATAAAACCATAGCATACATATCCAAATGCTCGCAGATAACTGACATTAGCTTTCATATTCCACAACTTCTCAAAAGGTGAAAGAAATTCTAACCTTTGTTGAGGAAGTCTGTTGATGACATATGATGCAATCCTTATTGCTTCTGCCCAAAATCTTCCTGGGACATTCTTGGCATGTAACATAGTGCGACATATTTGTGCTAAATGCCTATTGTTCTTCTATGCAATGCCATTTTGCTGCGGCCTGTAGGCACAAGTATATTGATGGCGAATTCCGCATTCCCTTAGGCATTGAGAAACTCAACTGAGTTATATTCCCCTCCATTATATGTTCTTAAACAAAGGATTTTCTTGCTGACTTCTCCCTCAACACTTCCCCTGAACTCTTTAAACATGAAAAAAAAAATCTGATTTTTCTTTCATAAAGAAAACCCAGACATACCTGGAGAAATCATCAATAACGGTCACCATGCACTTCATTCCACCAATTGATGATTGCTTTACTGGTCCAAACACATTCGAATGAACTAATTGTAGTGGTTCATCAACTTTAAATTTGGATCCTTCAAACGGCAACTGGTTAGCTTTACCATACTGGCATCCTGTACAAACAACGTCTGTTTTTACTTCAAGTTGCGGAAGACCCTTTATCATTGACTTCTTCATCATCAAAGTTAGCTTGGAATAACTCACATGAGCCAATATCATGTGCCACAAATCTGCAGTCTCATTATTTTTTGTCTTCTCTACGTATGTAGACATCACATACACCGATTCTAATCTCCTCCCTTTCATAATTGGATTTTCTAGGTTCTTTAGATCCTGATATATCCTCACATCATCAGGAACAAATAGAATGTAGTTTCCACATGTTGTGTTGTTACACTGAAAACAAGTTTTCCTTCATAGCGGGAACATGATAGACATTTTAAAGTGACATCTGGTTGGCCGCATGTTGAAGAGAAACTGCCGTCTTACCAATATGAGCTATCAGTAATCTTGAATCATTGGTTGTCACCACAACACAACCTCCCTTATAATCTGATAGATCCTGCAACTTTTATTTATCACCTGTCATATGATTTGCATAACCTTAATCAACGATCTAGTATTGATTTATATATTGTAGTTGTAAGTGCTAAATCCTTCTCTTCAATAGCAAAAATGGCTTCAGCATCTCAAACATCTTCAGTATTCTCGTTTGAATTTGAGGTAGCAACATTACTTTCCACGGGCTGATTCTTGAACCAACAGTCTTTTTCCATAAGACCCTTCTTCCCACAGTTGTAACACTTCCCTTCGAATATTTTATCATTCTTTTGATTCTTCGGAACTGCCCTTGAGAGAAAATTTTCATCTCTCTGAAAAATTTTCTTCTTAGACCCACCAGCAACTTGATGCTTGATGTTCCTACTTTTGTTGGTGTAGAAGGCTTCTTCACATTCTTCACCGAGAGTCCTGCCATTTGCTTTGGCATTGCTTCTTGACCAGCTAGAAGATTTTCAAATTTAACAAGCGATGGCTGATTTGGCCATCCTTGTACAACAGAAACAAAACCTCTGTATTCAGGTCTCAAACCATGAATAATGATTCTTTTTACCCTGGTTTCCCCAATTGGTGCCGTTGAATCCAAAAATGAAATTTCACGGTATGTCCTCTTGAGTTTGTGGAAGTACTAAGCAATTGTGATATCATGTTGCTTTGTTGATAATAATTCATTTTCCAAAAGCTGCAGCCTTGTATTGTTCTTCTTTGACAAAAGTGCAGCAAGAGTTTCCCATGCTTCTTTTGGTATTTTAGCATCACGAATATGCTCCAACACATATTCATCGATTGTTGTTTTGAGCGTAAACATTGCTTTTCCTGCTTTGATCTTCCACTTTCGCAATGTTCCATTTGCATCCTCTGCCTCTGGTTATTCAACTTCGCTTTCAACCGATCACTAATCCATTGGTAAATTTACAAACATATTAATTATTAGTTGATAATATTACATATGAATGTTTAGTTAAATAGTAACTGTTACCAACTCTGATAAAATTTATTGGTAAATTATTAATTACAAACTTATATTTTAATAGTTAGTAAATTACAGATTAAAGTTAATTTTTTTAGTAAATCATCGTCTGTTGTTGAGGCTTTCATATTTAATTTGCGTCATTAGGCCTTTTAACTTTTAATCAAACTTGACTTTGTTGAATATTTTTGGTAAACGTGCTCAGATTAGAACTCCGTCAGTGTCATTAGCTTTGAAATGTCATTTTTTATCTAACGGGAAGGTTGGTTCATGTTTTGAGGCTTTCACTTTTGTTTGTGCCCTTATGTGTTTTAAATATTATGTTTAGCCAAAATTTGACTTTGGTCAATATTTTTGTGAACGGGCTCAGATGAGAATTTCGTTAGTATAATTAACTCCAAAGTCATTTTTTATCTAGTAGGGTGGTTGGTTTGAAGATTTCATTTTTACTCTGTGCCGTTAGGTGTAGGTGTTTAACATATAAATTTTAGCAAAAATTTAACTTTGATCAATATATTTGATAACGTACTCAGATAGGATAATTAGATGCGAAAAATTGTTCTAATAAGATAGAGAGTTCGGATTTTGAGGCTTTTATTTATAGTTTATGTCTTTAGGCATTTTAGCTTTTATGTTTTGGCCAAATTTCACTTTAGTCAATATTTTTGGTAATCGTGCTCGAATTAAAAAAATTTCAGCACAGTTAGCCGTATAAGTTAAGTTTTGATCTCATAGAATGGTTGGTTTGGGATTTGAAACTTATTTTCAATTTGTATCGTTAAGAGTTCTAACTTTTAACTTTTGAGTAAAATTTGAATTAAGTCAATTTTTTTGGGAAACATGCTCAAATTTGCCAGTGCGGTTAGCTATGGAAGGTCATTTTTCGCTTTATAGGATGACTGACTTGGATTTTGAGGTTTTCACATTCAGTTTGTATCGTTAGACGATTTAACTTTTAATTTTCGGCAAAAATTTTATTTTGCTTAGAATTATTTGTAAATGTGCTCTGAGGAAAATTCTGTCAGTTCAATTAGCTTCGAAAGGTCATTTTTATATCGAACAAGATAGTTGTTTCTGGTTTTGAGACTCCCATTTTTAGTTTGTGTTGTTAGACGTTTTAACTTTTCACCAAAATTTATACTTGGTCAATATTTTTTGTAAACGTGCTCAAACGAAATTTTTTTGATATAATGATGTGTCATATTGAGATTAATTTAACTTTTTATCATAGATTTTGCATTTTTTTTATTCAAATATGATTTATAAAATTGATTAATATTTTTGGATTTATATATGTGTTATTAGATTTTTAAATACAATAAATTAATAAATATTTTACTATTGAATAATTATTCAGTTAATAATATTTTGAACGTATTGTTAATCATATACTAAACTAACATTGAACTGAATGATATATTACCAATAAACTAACAATCAATTAGTAAATTTATTAGAAAAATAAATAATCATACTAGAGTAATTAAAATTTATTACAAACAATAGTTGTGGTGTAGTGGTAAGTACTTGTGCATCTTTAACGGGGAGGTCTTAGGTTCGGTTCCCGTTGGGTACATAATCAAATTACCAACACAAATTTTTTTGATACTAAATTACCAACCAATTACCGACGTATGAATTAAAAAATAAAGAAAAAAATTTACTAACTCCTTTTCAATTCATTAGTAAAGGTACTAACGATATACTAACCAAATATTAGTTGGTAAATTTACCAACAGAAATTTCAGGGTCATATTTCAAAATTTTGTAACAGCATCTTTGGGTATTTACCAACGATGTTTTGTTGGTAAGATTACCAACAAACTAATATCAGTTGGTAATATTTGCTAAAGAC